CCTTATACCTGTTACCTTCAATGCTCTTCACAAAACTACTTGTTTAAATCCTGTTTCAGCAGTATCCTAGAACAAGTGTTTATTGAGCAAAGATCTTGTCTGACTCAYGACATCAACTGCTCTGTAGACACCAAACTAATTTTGTATGCTCATCTTCTTTCAAGGTTTGGGAGTTAATATCAGRCACCCAAACAATACTGTTCCTGACTAAACTGTAAATAAAATCTAAGCTAGCTCAAGTTTTGCTTAAGGTTACTGAAGTAAATCTTTGTGCCAGGCTAAGGAAAAGTAGTTCTAAGTTATTTGCTTTCCTTTAATAYAAGACTTCCAAATAGAGGGAGGATATAACTAAGTTTATGGCAGCAAGTGTTCATTCTTTTTATCTGCACTCTACAGAGTAGTTTTTAGCAGACCAGCATCTACAGGAGTAGCTTCAGGCTGAGCATACAAAGATTAGGATATAGTAGGAACAGTATGAGCCATGGTATGAGGAAAGTATAGGTTCTTTCTGAGAAAAGTCTGAAAGCAGACATAACTCCCACCAGACCACCAAAATCCAGGCTTTGCTCTTAATAATGCAGTTCAGTCCTTCTATAATGTCTCCGATAAGAAAACACATGTTCTCAAATTTTCTTAAAAATACAAATAAATAAGTCTGCCATTGGTGCAAATATGAATGCTTGTAGAACTTTGTAACAGGAAGGGACAGTAAGAGTCTGCAGCATCTTAACATTTCCCTTCACCAGGTTTCCTACACCTTAATGCTCTAGTGCACTTAGCAAACTTGGGTAATGTTCTCAAAAACTACAAAAACCACAGGAAAATACTTCATTTTCCATTCAACTGCAAGTGTTCAAAAGACAGCATTTTTGTTTGCCCCCTGCCTCCTGAGCACCTATGCAGGAGATTCACAGTAGAGACCAGAGCATGGGGACTCTAAGCAGCCCAGCTGAAATGTGTTTGTGTTGAATCCTGAGAAGAACTGAAGGAGATGGCAGGTCCTGCAGTCCTCTGCTTCCAGGAGTCCTGTGATGTCCTTACGTGATAGACTCCGAGGCAAAACACTCTTCTGAGCTTTTTTAAAAACTGTTGACATTAATGAGCTATGTGAAATTTTATATATCTGATACATGATTGAACAGCTCTGATACATTCTGGAATCTCTGGTGGAGATTATGATCTTTATGGAGTGCAAATTAGGACAATTACAGAATGATGGTTAAAGCTAAGCTTAAATGCATGGGGATATTCTCAAAAGGCTAACACAAAATCTTCTGGAGAATATAGGATCTGTGCCAACTTGTAGTTGACCTTATCTCAAGAACCACTCTACTGGTGTTTCCCTGTCTGAAAGATTTCAGTTCATTGTGRTCTGGGCTATAACCTGGACCTAATCACCATTATTTTTCCTGGTTGTAGTAAATAAACAGATATTAAACCCCGACATTTTTAACCTAATCAGATAAAGGTTTCATGCTTCAATTACCTTGCTATTCAACCTCACACATGACAGGAAGGTACAGATGGTTTTAATCAAAGAGTACCAGGCTGCAAGATGTATATAAATACAGAAATATAGATGTTTGTAAAGAGCACGGGCAAAATACACAGAAAATTTCTACAGACTGCTGGTTTTATTGAGGCCTTTGAAACAAATTAAAATTACCAAAGCTAATTATCAGTACAGAGGTATTGCTGCTACTTAATGATAATAYGGACATACCTGTAAATAAAATGTTCCCTTAGGTTGAGCATATAGCATTAAAAAGCTGTAATCCAAATTCTGTTTAGTTCTCCACCTAAACATAAGCAGCAAATTCTGATAAGCTTTTTGGGAGGGTTGCAAGAGTTATTTCTATAATAAGAGAACTTCTAATGCTCTGCATTTTTTGTCTCTACAATAAAATTGTAAGGTTGAATATTGAACCCATTGTTAAGTGCAAAAGCATTTCTCTACAATCAGTGTCAACATTAAATATTTTTATTTTCCTATAAAAGTTAACATTAAATAAAAATTTTCATCTATATCAGTGGCACTTGAAACATAATGTCTAACAAGTTATTCATATCAAATGACTCACAAGATTCTACTCATTATTTTATGAACAGTAGAGATTAACACACATGGATTATTCAAAGATGAAAAAGTAATTTCAGCAGCACAAAAACAAGTTGATAAACTTAATTTTCAGGTTTAAATATCAACATAGATGTTGGGCAATCTTTTATTTTACCAGAGGATGAAGYTGATGTTTGATAATCAACACTGAAAGACTAAAGAGTAATTTTGCAGTATTTAATTAACATAAAAGTGTATCCTTCATATCTAATCATAACTAAAACTAAAGTATATAAATTGTTAATGTTATGAAACATGTAAGGTTTATCTATAAAGACAATATACATACATACATATACATACAYATACYTGCTGATTTCTCTWGCCTGAACTTTYAGTACTGCAGCTCTCTTGCTGCACTGTAGCACTGCTGCACTTCTGATAAAATAGTTATTGCTGATTGAAAGTAAATTACTTTCCACCAATAAATATTTTTTTTAATGGTATAATCTCTGTCTTAGTGAATTTAGGGCACGTGAATGAATGAAATCACCATTTAGGATGTATTAACAGTAGATTAAAAGTCCATGATCACCAAAAGTTAGGTCATTAATTAAAACCACAGTAGCTGYCAGTAGTTAAATAGGGGGCCACATGGGTTTTTTTTCTGTGTTATTGGTCACATTAAAGGTTTTTCTATTTTTTCTTTTATGACCAGATCATATAGCCTATTGCCTTTTAGAATCAAGAACCAAAGCAGACACCTTGGCTCTCACCCTGAAGYTAATGTGCAGCATAGCTTTTCTCAAGATCCCCTTGTGTAATAAAATTTTTTTAAAAGTAAAGTTAAGGTCCTTTAGCTCTGAAACACAACAACATTATCAGCTCAACAATTTTCTGAATTTTCCATTCTACACTCTTAGCAAAAWTTTTTAGGTTTTATATAGCCATCATACCTTACTCTGTCCTCAGAATCCCCAAATGTTTTCTTCAGGTTAGAAAGATCTGGATAATAAGAAGCAGGAGGAGAAATAACCTCTAGGACTCCAGACTGGACTTCTCTGGGGAAGCTGTGAAGAGAATCTTAGTGAAACCCCATCCGTCAAAAAGACTTTWGAGGGAAACAACAGACAGCAGCTCTCCAGGCTTAGCTCTGCTCCTCCCCAGGTGGAATTCATAACTCCAGCAAAAAACTGTGAATTTGGAAYCAAGAAGAGATCTTTAACAACCATCAAAACAGATTGATTAGGAACTCTACCAAGTCTCAGAAAACACTTGAGAGAAGTGTGTCTCAGAAGTCCTGCATCTGTAGATGCTTACTAACAATCCTGAGCTAGTTGCCAAAATAGCAGTATTTTACAGTAATTTAGGCAGCAGTAATTTACAACCAAATGCACTATCTAGAACAACACACAACTGTTTCCCCTTGCATGAGAGCTCCCTGTGTCCTTACCCKTGCTGCAGCTCTACTTTCTAAGCAGAATAATACTGTCTCAGAGTAGTTTAAAATAGGGAGTCTGCATCTAGTCTCTGCTCCAAGGAAAAATTTTCCATTTAAAGAGACATTGAAAAAATGGGTAACTACTTTGGGATCCAAACCTTGAAGTCAAACCTCCCCCTTCCTCCAAAAAAATACCACAAACCAATGAACCAAACCAAACAAAACTCAAACAAAAAAACCACAACCCCCATATACATTTAAAAAACCCAACACAAAACAGGTAGTTTTCAAAATTGCATTTCCCATTTCCTATGATTAGTGTAAAAAAGATAACACTAAAAATTAAGCTCATCAGAGTACCAGCATTATGGACAAAATAATCTCATCTTACTGTGGAACCCTGACCAAGCATCTACTCTGCAGGTTTGTTTTTTTTTTTCCAAAAGCCATAAAGAAATAATCAAAATGATCTAAATGTTTGAATTGCTGTAGATATTGTACCTTGGCGGTGCCAAGAAAGTGCCTCTACCCCTTGTCCTGGCTGCAGCATTCCCAGCTGAAAACTGGAATTTTACCCCTCTGGAAGCAGGAAATGATTAACACAGCTTAGCTAACAGGCTCAGTGTGAGGAATCTTCTGGGGGAAACCCACAGGTGAAACAGTCTGGAAAACCACTGAGTGAAGGAGGAGTGCAGGAACCCTCAAATGAGAAGGAAAAGGTCAACTCCTCTAGGGATCTTGTTCAAGAATGGTAAGAGCAAGATAAGCAGAACTACAGTGGGAACGAGGCTTCAATTTGACATCTCTAAGGTTAATTTGGCAAAGCAGAGAATACCCATCTCATATTGTCCATCATGTTACAGACTCTAACATTATAAATGTAATCCCATTGCTGTCCCAAGTCTATTGTCTTCATGAAAAATAGTTTAAAAAAGGAAACAAAGACATCTGGGAAAACATGTAGRTGTGGCACTTGGGGACATAGTGGTGGCAGTGATGGGCTAATGGTTGAACTCCATTGATCTTCCAGTCAGGGAAGGGATTCTGTGATTCTATAACAGATGGCAGAATGCACTGCAGGTTTGTGTAGTCAGAGGGGACCTAATACATGTAGCCTCAGGTGCATGAATTGTATCATTAATTTTATTAAGTAAATATTAATCCAAGATTTAAGCTGAGACCTTGACTGGTTAAAGCACATCATCAAATAAGAAAAGAAAAATAAACTGATGTACATAATTCTGTTCTGAATTTCACAGTATGTTATGGCACACATTCCAAGAGTACACTTGTACCTCATTACTCAGCAGTTCCATCTCACTGCTGAAATGTTTTAATTCTTTCCATGAAAGCTCACAATGTGTTCACACTGGTGGTTACACACTGGGTGTTACACTTTGTGTGCCTTACCTGGTTTTAATATTTTCTGCAACAGTCTTAACATACTCAGCATCCACCTAAAGAAAACAAGGGAGGGTTTCATTAGAAGTCACCCATTTTTGTAATAAACAACACTTTTCACGAAATATTTATATGCAAACAATTTCTATTCTCTAACTCTTTTCCTTCCGAACAAAYGTGCCATGTTACAGCAGCTTTTCTACTAAAGGCCAGTAGGGGCTTTTCAAGCCAACCAAACTTTCAATGTAGTTCACTTTTGCTTCTAACTCTCTCCTGCTGTCATTTCTGCATTTTGTTTTTCAGTGCTTTTACAGAAGGCCAGGMTATTTTCTGACTAAAATTCTGTTCAGTTAGGCCAGTAAAGCACAGCTATTTAACTCTAAACAGTAGAAAAGAGCTGGTTAGGGTCATCCAAAAATCATAAAAGAGGCCTAAAGCAGAGGAGAAGAGTCACCTAAACAAAATATTCTAAAGCCAGAGATTAAATKTTTTATTTACTTTGTTATTCATTCAACAAACTTATGGCTCTTTGTCTGGAAATTTTGAGGACATACTTATTCATTACTGCTGTTTCATAAAAGTAACMGTTTTAGTGTGCAAAACACATCTGTTAACTACACTAAGAGTGCAAAGTTTTATGGCTGTGATTACTAAAGCAACTCAATATCTGTCTTTGYAGTACGGAATTTTTTCTTTAAATAAACAAATAATTGTTATCAGTTATATATTAAATTTCTAATAAATAAAAAGGAAGCGAAGAACTGTGATAAGAAAAAAAAATACCCAGAACTTAAAACTCAGACAATAAGTTACTCTGATTTAACCCATGATGACATTTACCATCATAAACATTTATGTTGATCTTCTGAAAGTTTCTGGGAAAAAGGAAGGTGTGGATTTATGACCAGTGAACACACCTGTCTTCCTCTCATAATAAAATGCTCTTATCACTTCTCATATCAGCACAGTTACCTGCTCCAATTTACTGCATGGCTGAAAAAATGGAAGCTGTGAGAACATGACTTTGGGGTTGGGAGAAAAGGGAGAGTAATTCTTACAATTTAGGCAGTTTAATCCTAAATTGGCTGATATGGAGAATTACTACAACCACAGCTCCTGATTGTTCAAAGTGTCACATTGAGTCTCTCCACAGAGGGAAACTATTCAGAAGTTAACCCTTAAAAATTCACAGAACCCTCTGAAGCCCTGTAATAAGAAATTCATAACTGCCAGGGCTCTTCATTGGGAAATACCAACTGCAAAGTAAGTTCAGATCCTAAAACCTATTCTAAAGAGGAATTACAGCCAATAAAATTGGTCCTCTGTATGCATCATTGTGATCCAAACAGAAAAGTAGAAGTCACGGCCAAACTTTTTAAAGTAAACTATACTCTGTTTGACACTTTTACACCTGCAAAAGTGATGGATAAACCATAAAAAAAGCAAATTGTAACTGCTAATGAATACATGCATGAATCTAATGCTGTCTATGGAAGGACAAAGAAATATGAAAAATAAATATGAAGTCTGAATAATTGCACAGTCAATTTACCTGCAAGAAGCTATCACTAGTTAATTCCCTTCTGTGGCTTTTTTTTTCTGATGTAAACAAGACATTTTTGAGTGAGAAAAAAATGTATTTATCCCTAATATCTTACCTAGAGCACTATTTACTTTCCCAGACATGTTCAAGGCTCTGAACAGTTTTCTCTTGCATGGGAAAATGCCAAAACACATGCAGAAGGCTCCAATATGTTAAGATGTTTTGCAAGATACATGTTCTCAAACCAGCAGATAAATAATTTTGTGAAACTAAGTTTACTTTCTTCACGTTCTATGGCACTTCTCTGTGGAGGACTTAACATTTCATTCTGGAACCAGAAATCCTTACTTTCAGAGATAAATAATGAGTTCATACAGTTTTGTTCGAGAATCTGACTGTGTTGATAAATGCAAATACAACTTTTTACCCTTTGATCACCTGCATTACAGGGGTTTTTTTCCCACATAGGAGCACTGAGGCACCAACTGCTCACCATCTCCTCCAGCYCTGAAGAAATCCCTCCCAAAGGCTAAGCTAACAGTGTTTTGCAGCCTCTCCTGCACTGTTACTCTTAGACATAAATCTCCATATTGTCTATCAGCATTCTGCACCTTTCCATGCAMACTCACCTCTGCTATAAAGATGATTATTAGGCAGTCCTTCTTTTGCTCTTCAGAAAGTTCGAATAGTAGGGAATGCAGTGTATCAATCAGGTAATTTTGTTTTTCCCTTTTCACAGTAGGAATACCCATCACCAGGGAGACTGCAAAAAGAGAATGCCTCAAACCATGTAATTTTAAGGGAAGCTGAAATTATATTTTAATTTTGATTTGATGTGACCACAAATACACYTGTACTTAGTAAAATGCAATCTTGCTATTGTGATTTTCCTGTGCAAATAGAAGAAGATTAAACATGGAGCATTTTTTTATTAGTGACACTGATCGATGGGCACTCCAGTGAAAACTAAAACACTAGATCACATTGCTACAACTACACCTACWAATGAGAAATCTGTAGAAAGTTATCCATTGTCATGAGCAAGGCCAAAGGTTTTTTTTTAGTTAAATCAAAAGTGCTGCCAGTGTGTCTTCATATAAGATCACCCTATAGAAAAGTAAAAAAATCAATAAAATACTAAACTCTGCAAAATGGTTGACCACCTTCATTGTTTACCATTTCTGTATGTTCCTTTTACCTGTCACATGACAGGACAATATGTTTCTACTTTGTATTATAGCTCATTGGAATTTGCTATGATTTCTACAGTGTCAGCTGATTTCTGTTGTGGATGAAAAGGCTACATTGATATATTAATATCCTTTACATGGTCATATCTCTCCTTTCTTTGCTTCTCACCCTGGCAAACTGACTGCATCGTAAATTTGCCTTGGCTTCCTCATCCATACTAATTTTGTGGGGAAAGAAATGTCAGCTACTGCATCATAGCTATATGAATGTATGATGGAAACCAAAAACAATTTTGTTTTTCAATTAAGACTATTTCTATTGATATTTCAAAAGGCTTTCAGAATACTTTGAGATAAGACTTGAAATAGGAGTGGGCAAAATTTACAAATTTACAAATTACTTCTGCTATTGCCATTAAAATTCATTCAGCTTGGCAACATTATAAAGTTAAGGGAGAAAGCCCATTCTGAACTTTTAAGTGTGCTTTACTGCTAGAATGTTATATAAAATGCAAACATATGGAAAATATAAGCCAAACTTTATTTCCTACCTCCAGTTCTCTGTTGCCCAAAAATAACATTTGGGAAACTTGCATCCTCATAYTCTCGAAGGTGAGGTAGGTAGTAGTACATGTTTGCAAGATGCACGGGGAGTTTTCTGGGGAGGTTTAACTCTTTCCACTTGACATCATCTTAAAGACACAACCAACCCAGAGATACACATAAAAAGTCAGCATGAGAAGCCTGTTGCTTCACTTGTTTTGTTCAACTGAATGCTGGCAGATTGCCACACAGAAGGTTATTGAATCAGAACTATTGCTCAGAAGTGATTATAAGTCATATATATGACATTATATTAAATTGAGAATTTCCCAGTAGAACTCCTTCCCACCCAGGTGATGGGGCAGATCTCCAAGCTTGAACACCCTGGGAACTCCATCCATATTTCCCTGTGTGTACACACGTGCAGGATTGAGTCATCTTAAAACACAGTAAATTATTTCAAAGGCAGCAGTAAAAAAACGGTTTGGTTTGGTTTTGCTTTTTTTTTTTTTTTTTTTACATAGCTGGCAAACAATTTTTAAATGGAAAGAAACACAGATTCTGATGAATAACTGGTTTTACTACTTAATAAACTTAAATGTTTTCCCCAAAAAGCAACACATGGTGGTTTTCACAGCTCAAGCAAAAGTTCTCCAGTTATAAAAAGTTCTATGGTAAAAGGGACAACCACATACAGGCCTTTAAAAACTATTCATGAAACAAAAGACTAAAGCAGTTAAGAGAAAAGCAGGGATTTGTTTTCTTTACTGCTTTAAAATAAAGATGAAATCAACAGAAGGTTTATTGACTGGGATGGAAAGTTATTTTTCCTAAGAAATGCATCTAAGATAACTTCCAAAATTTACCACCCTTCAAAGTTACATACAAGTCTCACGAGACCAACAACAACTTTATTAGATCAATGAAGGCAGAGGCTTACTGAATGTATTTTAAGTTTTTTTCGCTTCTGAAGGATACTCCCACTGAAAATTAAGACTCAAAAGAGATTCTCTACCTTACAGAAAACAGTTTAAAAAACCTCAAACAAGCATATATGTATATATATGCCCAGAAATTTGTGTATGAGAGAGACACCCACAAGTCCTCCCACACTGTTAAGTGGTTCAATATATTGAAATTTTTCTGCATAGAAAATTTTCCTTTTTTATCACCTTCACATCTTTCCAAGGACTTTCAATGTTTATTTGGAAGTAGTACCTATCAAGTACTGGGCAGGGGAATTTAGTTCCATTGAACACAATAAACCTTTTCATTTTTGTTGTACAAGAAAACATGGCTGCAATGGGAAGCAGAAGGGTAAGTAAAAATAAAAGAAACTTTTTCAGTGATTTTATGCAATTTCTGCCTTAAATCCTGTGAACTGACATGTTTAATACTCTGATATTTAGCTGGCTCCAATACGAATCAAGAGCAGGGGGAAGGGGACTCTCCTTTACTACTATTTTGTGCATCATTCTTTGCTCACGGTATGTGGGGCTGCTGACAACATGACTATTTTAAAGCTCCTAAGGCCACCACCCTGGCAATGCTCAGCCCTTTGTTTATGCACATCAGAGCAGTCCCAGTGAATTAATAATGAATAAACACACAAAAACTGGCAGGGAAGATCAGGGGAAACAAATCTGACTGTACAAAAAAGAAATACACCTTGTTTTTTCTTCCCCCATAACAGTCCGGGTTAATTCCTTATTTTAGTCTGGTTACCAGCCTGCTGTACTGAATGAAAATAGGAATTGTTAAATGGCAGTGTTCAGACACACCCAGACTCTTTCTGGAGTTGGGATATGCTATGAAATGTCACCAGCACAGAGATGCCTCTTCTAACTCCCCTTCTCTCCCCAGGGAAGTAGCTCTGCCAATCTCAACAGGGAGGAAGGCAGATCCTGCACAATKAGATCATTTATTTTAAGGAACAAAATCAAACTATCAATCTACTGCATGCAATGACAGTGTGCAGATGTATGGAGATGTACAATAGTCTGTAAGGCAACAATGGAAAGAAGCCAGACCACTAAACTTTACATGTTGGTGTCCCACAGAAAACCAAAACCCCCCCAAACCACCAAACAAAAAACCAACCCCACAAAAACCAACCAACCAACCAATAGCCAAAAAACCCCCGAGAAACACCTACAAACCTGTGTGATTTTTTGTCATGTTCATTCTTCTTGCGACTATACGTTTAATTTCATCTAGGGCACTGCTCAGTTCRTGTGATCTTTTTTTATTTTCCTTTTCAGCATACAATAGTCTTTTTTGAAGTTCCAGCAACTCGTGTTGGTACATATCTAAGTCATTTCCTGCAATAAGAACAWAATTTCTTTTCAGAAAGGTGATTTATATGAAGGAATGAAGTTAAAGAATGGCAGATGGTCCAGAAAATGACATCACCAAAATGCATAAATAATAATAATAAAGTTTGTTCAAGAGAAGACATCTGGAAGAGTATTAAGAAGGTAGAGTTTAGGCAGCACAGCTGGGTGAAGGCAAATTGAAGACAAAACCAAAAATRTGAAATCCATAAGGAAAACATGAGTGAAAGACAATGAGTTGCAGGGGAAGGTGCTACGTTTTTCACAGATAAGAAACCTTGAAGACCCTTTTCACATTGAAAAGTATAATTAAGTAATGGCTTGTCTTTTTTATCAAACAAATTTCCAGGGATTSTAACCTGTAAAAGAGACTAAGAGCAAAATGCAGAGGTAATAAAAATTTGTGAGGATTTGCAGAGGTGTTTCAAACTGGAATTAATATCCATTTTGGATAAAATGGGAGTTTCATTTGCATTAAACTCAAGTCCTTTATTTGATCAATAAATGTGTGATTGGAAGACTCTGAAGTTTAAAACATTTAGAAAGAAAGTGGTTAGATAAAAAGAAATATTCATGTGATCGATACTGCCATTGTTTGCCTCATTAAAATTTTCAAGTATGTTTAGTAAAATGCCCATAAAATAAATGCTTCCTAAAATTTTCTGACACTCTTAAAAATGTTTTGACTTGTAAGAAAGACATTTGTATGTATGAGTATTTTATACTATGCAGCTATGATCATAAATTGAGCATTGCTGAAGGGAGGGGAACACTGCATGCAACAAGACAGTTCTACTTGATTAAAGTAGGCTTCCCTGAAAAAAATAAGAACAAATAAAAGCAAAACAAATGGAAGATCAAAACAGATGAAAAGTCTATATTTAAACAATATAAAACACATTAAAATAGATTTCAAATTTTAAAAAATCTCTCAACAACGCATAAGGCTAGAGAGCTAAAACCCCAAACAAAGTAAATTTTTGGAATACCTAAGAAAAATCCCTTTCATCAGTAGCCATGTAGGATTACACTTTCTTGTTTATGSTTTTCTTTTGTAGCTGTGTTTCCAATGCCATAATGCAATCTTTAGCTCTTTTTCTTTAGCATGTATATGAATAAAATAAAAAACAGAAGGTTTAAGCTGATTTAGGTACTCACAGATAACCATCACACTATTTTCATAGAAGGAAAGTGATTCCAAATAGAAGATGTAAACATGACGAAGATGCATCTTGCAATTCCAAGACAAATTCAGAGGTATAAGGTAAAGATAGAGTAGCAGATGTGCATTTTTCTTTAAATTCCAATTTATAGAAGGAATTAGTAATGAAATTGCAGGCAAGTTATAACATCATAGTCCCTCTCTTCACAATTCTCTCAGCCATGCAGTGTCAGCATGACTCAAAATCACCAGTGTCACCACTGGACTCACTTTTAGGCAAACACCAAGCAATTGTAGTTTTATTTGCTTACCTACAGGTGAGCCTACCAAAATATCACAGGTGCCTCTTGCAAATAAAATGTCAACACTCAGCTGTCACTGAGTGYACCCAAAGAACCTGGCATTTGTAATCAGCCTTACCTATTTCTTCAGGCCAGAAGAGGGAAACTAYGTTCTTAAGTCTTTCAGAATTGAAGCCTCTCTTCAGTTAAGAGAAAAAAATTCTCAGTAATCACTTATCTCACTTGATTTTGACAGCTCAGGAAGCAAGGGTTTGACAAAAAGAATCCTTAGTGAAGAATGAATTTATTATAAAAATATATAGTCTGAAATAGAACATGAAATGTTCTAAATTTTACTAGAGCTCATGYAAATTAACTACATTAGCTATTACTAAGCCTTTGGAAAAATTGTTTAGAAAGCAACATGAAGCTAAACACCTTAAATATTTCAACAGTCCTTAACTTTAAATGGATCTGTGTGTGGAAAATGTTCTTTCAGTATCTAATGATCCCCAGAGAACTAAAACAGCTGCTTGCAAGAGAGTGCTTAGAAAGACACAAGACGTTTTTACAAATACTGTGCTTTCTGAACAGGAGGGCCAGGGAGAAGGAGCTTTGGGACAKCATGAAACACTCTGTGCCCAGCAATTGCCTGACTTGGCAATGCCTTGTCCAACAATGGCTCCATCAGCAGTGAGCAGTGTCAGGATAAAACCAGAAAAGAGCAAGATGAGGACCTACAGCAAAACCACCAAAAGCAAATGAAGGTAAAGGCAGCCCTGCAGAGAGATCCCAAAAAATCAGAGCTGGGCAATCACCAACCATTCAACAAGGGAAAGTGTTGGATTCTGCACCTGGGAAGGGGCAACCCTGGATGTATGGACAGACTGGGGAATGAGAGGCTGAAGAGCAAAGCTCTGCAAAGGCACCTCGTGGTCCGGGTCAATGAATGTGAGTCAGCAGTGCTGTGGCAGCCAAGAGTGCCAACTGTCCTGGGGGACATCGGGCACAGCATCGCCAGCCGGGCACGGGGGGATTGTCCTGCTCTGCTCTGACCTGGGGCAGCCTCACCTCCAGTGCTGGGGGCAGCTTTGGGTGCCGTGACATAAAAAAGACATTAAACCATTAGAGAGTGCCCAAAGGAGGGCCACAAGGATGGTGAAGGGCCTTGAGGGGAAGCGTGTGAGGAGCGGCTGAGGGCACTGGGTCTGTTCAGCCTGGAAAAGAGGAGACTGAGGGGAGAGCTCAGTGTGGCCTTCAACATCCTCACCAGGGGAAAAGAGGGGCAGGCACTGATCTCTCCACTCTCCTGAGCAGKGACAGGACTYGAGRGAATGGCTTGGAGTTGTGTCAGAGAGGTTTAGGTTGGGTATCAGGAAAAAGGTTCTTCACCCAGTCAGTGTTTGGACACCAGAACAGGCTCCCTGGGGAAAGTGGACACAGCACCAGCCTGACAGAKTTCAAGAAGCATTTGAGCAACACTCTCAGGCACATAGTATGACTCTGTGCAGGGCCAGAAGTCGGACTCATTGATCCCTGTGGGTTCATTCCAACTCAGCATATTCTGTGATTCTCTGTAAAGGCTTCTTCTCCCCTTGGTGAGCTGAAGATGAATCACTCTGCTGTGCTAAGAATGGTTCACTGAATCTCTCTTCTAGGAAAAGTTCATGGGGCTACACTGGTTACAAGCCATGGGAGAAAAAAAAGASCCAGCCACCTCCAGGACACAGTGAYAGCRCTCAAAGTTTCTGCAATGAATTTTCAGCTCTACTGTAGCATTTTCTCTGTTAASTACACATTGGCATACGTACCTATGGATACTGTCATTCTAAGATAGCAACATTTAAAATTGTTTTAAATGCAATCTAGTGTTATCTCCTAATAGATACATTATATATATAACTTCCTGCACTGGAAATTGGAACTGTTTAGAAACAATACTAATCTCTAAAGCAAATACTCATTCTAAAAGCCAACTGATTATTTCTCTTAGCTCCACATACATATATTTCCTCTAATAATATAAATGCTTTCAGTTTCATTTCTGGCAATATTTCAGAGTTGTGGAACAATTCATCACTATCTCCTCCTTAAACAGAAAAGAAAATAAAAGGAGAATTTGGAGTGGCAGAAAAGAGGGAAGAAAACACTCCAGTCTAGCAGTGAAACTTGTTCCTATTTCTTCATTACAAGCTACACTGTTTATTTTAGAAACTGAAATTTAGTTAATGGTCTCCTTAAAAGAAAACTTACAAGCAYACTAACTGCAAGAGATCATGTTCTACTCTGTGCTTGGAAGCACTGCTCACTGTTCAGGATAATGAGGCACATTAAACCACTGAGGCATGCATTGCACTAATAACTGGCAATTTATTATCTCCCCATAACTGATCTAATATGAGAGACCTTTCTGAATCTTGTTACATGCTTCGCACGCTCAGGTTTTGTGCTCTCTGAGTAAGGAAGGAAAAAAAAAATTCCCCAAATAATGCCGCTGTCTCAGGTCAGAACAGCCAGTTCTTAGGCAAACATTTAAATCCAGCAATGTGCATTACCTTTAACTATTTTCTTACAGCCTTACAGCACAGTATTTTCTGTGTCTTCCAACACATTTGAGATGTCTACTCGCCTTTGACAGGGTCCACATCAGGAGCTACAAGGCAGTGGAGGGACTTTGCATTAACCCAGGACATCAAAGAAAAGCACTGTGCCAGCAATTTGGGGCAGGGGATAGGCTTCCTCTATTCCCCTACAGGCCACATTGGGGAGACAGTCAAAATACTTTCAGTATTAAAACTAACACACACCCTTACAGAGTTAAAGGCAGCTCAAAGTTAATAATTGGATTTTTAAAACTCACACAATTTTCTAATAAACATGGATTCCCTTTTGGGTTTGGCATAGAATACTTTTTACTGAACTATTTACATACTGTATCTGACTGAAAATAAATTAGCAAACTTGTTTCAAAGAAAATACAACTAAACACTAATAATATTTTCTTAAATGTTGGCAAATAATCCTCCTTTTACACCCAAGCCTTTTCCTATATTAGAATGTAGTGAAAAGTGATCTTAAAACATTCAGTCAGAACATCACCATATAGCAAAACAATATTACTAACATAAGTGAAAAAATACAGAAATTGAATGGATATTGCATGGTGTTTGCCCATAATTGATACACTTTGGCTTTAAGGTAGTACCTATTCACTTCAAGCAATGGCTATTGCTTTGTTCTCATTGGTATTTTTAATATTTTACTTCTCTTCCTGAGGTAGCAACAWTTACTAAATTATACACACAATTAATTAAATATATAGCCATTAACKAAGGTATTTCTAGATAAAACYCTGTTCCTGAAGACTCAGTATACARCAGTAGGAAAGCACAAAAATCATGCATTTACTCATGTTTAAGCACAGGTTGTGATGAGACACAGTCCAGCAAACCAAGAGAGGCCAGAAATGCTCCCTCATCCCCTTCTCTACAAAACCCAACAATAACTGGCCTCCTTTTATACCACAAGATTTATGGCTCAGTTCCTCTACTCTTTAGGCACTGTCCTGCTTGAAGTTACAGTAAGAAGCAGCAGACTCTTCATTTAGGAAATTGGAAGCCTAGACGCCAGGAAAACTACACCGATTTTCTAAATCTTGCACATGAATTTTGAAATAAAATTTTGGATCTGTAAATACTTTAAGTGGGCTATTTAAGGCTGTTGTATTTTGTTCGGTTTTGGGTTTTTTTGTTTGTTT